GACACAATCGATAACCTTCGAAATCTAACGTTGCGATATAATTTCGAAGGTTTTCGAATTAATATAATTACTGATGTGATGTACCAGGTATGAACTATATTGTACAAACAATTCTCTTAGTGAATAATACTTATAATTTAAATATCGTCCCAGTCACTGACTTTCCGAAGCAGTATGTTGTTCCTCATATTTATCGTGAAATACTTGAAAAAGTAATGTTTAATGTTGATGGATTTCAATGCATTTCGGATCCTAAGATTTGAATGTTTTTTGACAAATTGCATGATACCATATTCAATGGTCTTCAGTGGTAGGTACAGACAAAACTTTTACTGATATCCTTGTTGACGATCTGCTTCGTATTGCTAAGCTGAATAACTGGCCTTTAAAAATCAGGTGTGTAATTATTGGAAGTCTTTTATTGTGGTACTCAATCATTCTAAAGTTTATATTTCTCAAAATCCAGAAATTATCCATCATGTAAACTATACATTAAGGGTTATGATCTCATGTCAGCCGTTTCTGAATTTCCAGTTAAGAAACAAGACTGTATTATTATTGAAGTAAAAGTTAATATGTTTTTATTTTTTAATAAGTTTTTTTTTCTTTACTTAATAATCTTTTTTTAAACAGGATCAACATTTGAAAAATGTCGTGTCGAACTTCAGATTTGGGAAATCACAGATCGCTGTAGAAATTCTCACCTGTGGAAATGAAAATATGTATTTAATTGATTATGAATATAAAGAACAGACCATATTCGTCATTCATGTTATTTCCGCGTATGTCACATTTTATAAAATTGAGATTCCTGCGAAATATTGGAAGGAACTTGAGAAAGGTCTACTGAAAGAGCAGTCAATTGAAATTCTAAGATGGCCAGCTAATAATGGTTTGAGGAGTGGTTTCGATTTAGCTAATCCTGATCAAAGAGAAATTGTACTAAATTCATTATTCAAAATCAGTCAATTTCTTGTATTAAAAATACAAAATGTTAATTAAATTATCAAAAAAAAGTGAAATTTAACTAGCGGTAAATTTGGAAGAGATGGATAATAATCTACATCAATATAAAATGTGATGACGAATGACAATACAAGACTGTTGTAAAGAAAAATCATTAAGTTACTCCAGATCAATTATTGTTGTAAAAACCTATTATGTGACTGTGACAAGGTATCAGAGTGGATTTTATGAATAGGACGTAGATTTGTATTGCATCATTAATATGTATACATGTTAATTTTCTAATGAAAAATTAATTAAGCATGATTTCTCTTAATGTGTGCATACACTCTCCTAGTAAAAGTATTTGTGGAATGATAAAATTTAAAAATAATTGCTAAAATTAAAATGGTAATTGTGAGACAATGAGTGATCTAAAATATACAAACTTTTTTTTATTAGATTCTCCTAAACTAAGGCTATCATATAATATCTTTTGTGATAAAATTGAACATCTATTCATGAAGATATTATGCTTCAAATGAAATTGACAAAAAATAATAAATTTATTCTTAGATCGATACTTATACCACATTCGATAGGTCTTAAAGATAGATACCAACTATCTTATATGAAATTATAGTCAAAAATAATATTTACAACTTTAATTATTGACATTTTCCTCGGTACTAATAAAAATTTTGACTTCAATTAGACGTGAATAAAAATGACTGAAATTTAATAAAATTTTAAAAAAATAAAAAAAATTCGAAAATAATTGTGACAATTGTTTATATATGAAAAACTTATTATTTATTAACTTAACAATAAATGTGCTTTTACATTGTTACAGAATGAAAATATAATAATAAAATAATATTAAAAACACCTGTAATAATTTATAATAACCCTTAAAATAATATTTAGAATTTAATATTAGTTCAT